GTGGGTTCAGTCTCTCCAAAGCCAGGACAATCGGGAGGAGACTCCAAGCTTCATCTCCTCATTTAGGAAAAACAAATGGTAAGATTAGAATGTTCAGTTAAAGCAATACTTTTAATTCCAGATGGCAAAAGCTTTTAAAACTTTGTGGAATATATAAAAGCCACGTGGAATACAAACACTAAGGAGCAGATAAAGTTCCTCTACACCAAATTAGGTTTATAGCTATTGATAAATGAAATTGGCCTATAATTTTTATATACTCATGAACTGTTTAAAAAGCATAAAATCTCTCTGTCCATTAAGGACTTGAGAGAATTCACAATATGTGCTAAAATGGAGAAACTTAGTGAATTAAAGGACGCTGCCGGAGTGTCTCCGAGAATATCTGCAGCCAAGTAGATCTGTAGGGTGCACGGTGGTCCTGCTGTGGAGATACACAGACTGAGAAGAGGTATCTAGCAAAGCATCTCTGGCAGAGAAATACTCTGGCTTATTATTATTATGCAAGATCCAGAAGAATACTAAAGCAAAAAGAGAGGAAAACAAGATAACAGGCAAAACTTGGATTCCCTGACGTTGGGCTTATCTGAGAATATTTCGACAGGTGCTTTTTTGTGTGTTTTTTGGTTTTTTTTGTGGTTGTTGTTGTTGTTTTAGTTTGTTTGTTTGTTTTGGTTTTTAATTATGAGAAATTCCCAAATAATGTGTGATATGAAAATTGAAAGTAACATTAGAGGATAAAACATGAAGTGGTTCTGTGACCATACATTGCTACTACTTGGTTAGAATAAATTTACGTTAGATGGCTAAACCGTGTGTAAGATCTGAATACTATTTCATTACATGCTACTCCAGGAGTATGTGAAGTATGGAAGGATTTCAAGTGAAATTGCATCCAAACAAAGTAAAGCGTGGGTGAGCCTTCAGCTGGTCTGCAAAAGAACAAGGCTTTCATAGTAAGAAGACAATTTTATGGAGGGAGAATATTTTAGCTTTATATAGATGTTTTGAAATTCCATTTCTGTTGCTTTGGCTTTTTTAAGTAGCAACTCTGGACATTTAGAATTTGGTTTTAATTTTTATGATGTATGTAGTTCTATAAGATAACCAAACCAAACAAGCATTTCTTCTTAGGCCTTCCCACTCTAACTTGCTCCTAAGATTCTTTCAAAAGCAGCCGGTTTAAACCGTTACAACACTTTTTGTGTGTGTTTATCTCCAAATGTCTAACTCATATTATTGTTGTGTTCTTAGTTTTGAAATGTTAGGCATTTTATGAGATGTATTCATCACTGGGAGGTAGAACTAAACAGATGATGGCTTGACCCTCTTCGGCTCCCCCAGCATATGTACACATTTCCACTCCTTCTATTTTCCTTATACCAATAGCTATGGCACAATGATGGGGAAAACAAAATTCAGTGTTTCTTTTGAGATGATGGTATGTGCATCACTGTGTGCTATGGAGATTTTTTCTTTTTGAAACAGTGACTCTTCCTGGGAGTCAACAATATCTCCTTCTGTTGTCCTAAGGTTAGCTAAGAAAGCCCTTGCCAGTTCCCTTAGAAAACAGTGAATGTCATCAAAATAATAACATAGGAAAATACATGACAGTTGATTTGATTAACGACTGCGTTTGATTTTGCTGTACATGCACCTGTCTCCCACCTGAGCCCATTCTCTCCATCCCACCCTACTTTAGGTTTGAGGATTTCTTCACCTCTTCTATTAGAGCCTCCATTTCCAGGATCACAATCACCTGTAGATCATGTTCTTGTCCTTTAGATTGCGGCCTCAGAAACGGGTTTATTCAGTTGCCCAAAGTTCATTTATTCAACTTTTGTCGTGAAACATTCAGCATTTTCAGACCTAAGGATTTTCAGCATTTTCAGTCTTCAGGATTTTATATTTACATCTATGTCTGGGATGGGTACAAGGTAAACCATAGAATATTTGGTTAAATCTGAGTTTTAGATAACAAATATTCTTCAGTATGAATAGGTTACAGATTTTGCAGGGGATGTACTTCCACAAAGGAAGTAGTTATTGTTTATCTGAAACTCAGATTTAACTGTGTGCCTTGAATTTTTATATACTGACTTTGGCAACCCTAGTTGGGAGGTATTAGACTATATAAATAAACAAAAAAGGAAATACAATAGGTAGCCATCTTATTAGAAATTGTTTTTAAATATTTATTTATTTTAATTGCAAAGTCAGATATACAGAGAGGAAGAGAGACAAAGAGGAACATCTTCTGTGCAGATTCACTTCGCAAGCGACTACAAGGGTTGGAGCTGAGCTGATCCGAAGCCCAGAGCCCAGAGCATTTTCCAGGTCTCCCAAGTGGGTGCTGAGTCCCAGGGCTTTGGGCCATCCTCAACTGCTTTCCAAGGCCACAGCAGGGAGCTGGACGGGAAGCAGGGCTTCTGGGATTGGAACTGCTGCCCATATGGGATCCCGGCACATGCAAGGCAAGGACTTTTGCCACCTAGCCATTGTGTTGGGCCCAAAAATTGATTTTTAAAATGCCATTGTGAGGTGCAGAAAAAACACACTGCAAGGTGAAGTAAGTCAGGGATTGTAATTTTCAGAGTGGCTAGGATAAAACTCATGGAGATGAGTTGTTAGCAAAGAGAAGAAGAAGGTGAGGAATGAGCTCTGCAATTATGTAGAGAAAGTTATTCCAAGTACAGAATGTCTGGAATGAACCTCAGATCATGGAAGAGGCAAGGAGAACAACATGGCTGTTCAGCACATATGTGGGATGTGATAACTGGGCATGAAACAAGAGAGAGAGTAGCAGGGCATTTAGGCAATAGGGAAGAGTGTGTGGTTAACTCAGAGCGAAATGAGGAGTAAGCAGCATTTTGAGCAGGGTTATAACATGGGGTGACTTTTGTTTGGCCAAACCCTTGGTTGATCTGCAGAGAATAGGGGGAGGGGTAAGGATAAAAATTGAAATGTTAACTTGAAAGTTGCAATAGTAAGTCAGCTAGAAAGAGGGAAATGGGATAAGAAGATGACGATGAATACAATATGGATAGCAGTGACTATTGAATCCAAAGCAGACAGGATTCTGGAAAAAGATTTTTCCTCTAACATTTTCTTCATTGCAAATAGTGTTCTGTTTGCCCTTTGGAGCACAGTTTTCCTTTCTCAGTAGCTGTCAGTGCTTTGCAGTGTGTGAGTTGTGATTTCGCTCGGGTGCACAGCAGCTATAAATCCTTTCTCTAGGCAGCCCTTCTCTTTCCAGCACCAATGTGTTCTACCTCTCTGATTTCCCTGTGCTGGCTGGCCTATAAAATATTTATTCTGATTTTGTGTTCCGCCCCTGAAATGGTACACTGGTACACTGGTGATTAGATTTCAGTTAAGCCTCCTTAGTTTCATTTGGTATAGTGCTGGGGCAATGGAGATCTTACATAACAAATAGAGGAGTGCCGACAGACTGTTGGCATTAAGGCTTCCACGCATATTTCCCAGCAGATGCAAATGAGGCTTTTTGCCAGGCCATCCTTCCCTGTCATCTGCTAGCTGCACTTCTCACATTTGCTTCTAGAAGAGGCTATTGACAGTCATTTATCACTACAGTGAGCTAACTTTTCCCATCCAGAGGAAAGCAACACTAGCACATCTGGCATCTTTTATTTCCCCCTGTCCAACACCAAGATTTCTGATTCGGGATTATGCTCAAATGGGAGGTTTGTCTTTCACAATTTAGGGCATCAGGATAGTTCATCTTTTAGGTAGGGGTTTACGAATTACATGCCCCCTGGTGTATGTTTGACAGCTGAGGACAAGAAAGAGGCCGCTAAACATCAGGAAACGAATGCACTCTGTGTGCTTGAACTTCAGATTGAACTCCTCTGAAACTTATCAGTTCCTAAGACTAGACTGCCAAACCAATAGTTGATAACATAATGAAATCAAAGAAGCACTTTGTAGGCAGTCAGAGTCTTAATGCAATTTCAGTTTTTAATAGGGTCTCAAGTTTGATGCACCTAAGTGTAAGCAGTTTTGCATTAGTAAAAAAAAAAAAATCAGATTCAAATCCAAATAAATTCTTCAAGCATTGTTAAAAGCATTCTTTTTGTTCAGGATTTGAGATACATTCAGTTTACCAGCATCATCAATTGGACCATCATGTATTCCTAAAAGAAAGAAGTGTTGCCCAGGCAAGTCTGGATAAGGAGTCAAGCTGAATGTAACTTTACGAAACCACCTTTAATATGTATGTTAAGTGGTGATGAAGATTGTCTATTTTTAAAGATTTATTTTTGAGAAGCAAATTTACAAAACGAGATATTCCAAACACTGGTTTATTCCCCAAATGTCCTCAGTGGCCCGAGATAAGTCAATCCAAAGCCAGGAACCAGGAGCCAGGAGCTTCTTCTGGGTCTACCCAGAGGAAAGTTGAGTGCAGAGCCCCAGGTACTGCAGCCATAGGTAGGGACCTGGATCAGTGGGCAGCCAGAGCTACAAACAGCACCCACTGGCTGCCCTAACTTCTCTCTGCATTTTTTTAAGAATTACTTATTTTTATTTGAGAAGCAGATATAAAGAGAAAGAAGGAGATGCAGAGAAAGGAGCATTATCTTTGAATTATAGGAGAATCAGGCTCAGATAACTTTGGGCAGTTTACTTAGTGTCTCTGAGCTACTGTTTTTGTCATTTGTAAATGTGGACAATATTGCAGACAAACCACTTACCATTACTTCAAGGATCAAATGTAATAAAATCTGCAAGGACTCTGCCAACATTATCATCATCAGCAGCAGCAGCAGAAGCATCATAGTTTTATTTTGAAAAATAATTAAAGCAAATTGCCACATAGTATTTACCATGGTCTAGGCACTGTTGCTACATGCTTACACATATTTATATCTCTGTCTCAACAACTCTGGGAAGTAGGGACTTTGAACTCATCATTTTGAAGATGAGAAATACACAGAAAGAGTGTGTACCTTTCTTAGGATTATTTAGCCAGTTTGTGACAGCTGTAACTTCCTTGCAAAAACAAAACAAATGGAAGCTTCTGTTTACTTGCTCTTAATGATCTCTATAAAGTTTTATCTAAGAAAAGGATCTAACAAATCAAAGGAGTGTAAGAAGTCCAAATTAGGTAATAAATATGAAAAACGCTTGTAAACAACAAAGCACTAATTCTGGAAGAATGTTTGAGCTATTAAGCATTTGTAATTCCACATATCCTTAATGGTTGAGATTAATTTTAACGTTTGGCAAAGAAGTCCTTATTTTTTAAGATTTACTTTTTTTAATATGAAAGGCAGATTTGCATAAAAAAGGTGATAAAGAAATCTTCCTATGTCCTGTATTGTTTAGCAGCGTCTCAGTTTTCACTGCTAACAGGTAACCATGTTGTTTATCTTTAAAATGCTGGCATCAGGATTTCAGAATAGCAAGCTACCCGTTGAACACCTGCTATCTTACCCACCCATGCATCAGGGCACCTTAGCCAGATAGCCGAATTCCCTGTTGCTCAATTTTGAGCATATGCCATTTTGCAATACTATTAAATAATGGCAGTCTGCTGTTAGAGTTTTATGTGCTCCTTTGGGGAACAAATGACTGTGCACAACATTGGAGAAGAGGAGGTAAAACTTCCATGAAGCAATGTATTACTACAGTGAGTCATTTTGTTAAGAAAAACAGAAGAGGAAGGAGGACATGAAAAAAAGAGGAGGAGGAATAGGAAATGAGAAAAAAGAAACGAAGAAAGAAAGAAAAAATAAATCGACTTGACGTGATGTCGAGTATGAAAATGTGAGAAATTAAACTCCGGATTCCATCATGATCATTTTTTCCTTCTTCCTCCTTTCACCACTTGCTGCTTCTTCTGTCCGTCTCTCTCACAGCCTCTAATGCTAGTAATGCTTGAATGGAACATCAGTATCAAATTTATTCATCCATTTATTTAATAAGGATTTATTTATTATTTAGCAATGATTTATTAAGCATCATGAGCTTGACACTATGCTAGGCCCTTATGACATGAAATTTTCAAAGAAAACCTTGTCTGTCATTCAACAAAAAATTGTTGAATGGTTAAGGGATGGGATTCATGTTAATTCATCTGGTAAATGTGCATATAGAGACACACGAAATTTTATGGGAATTTTAAGGAATAGGGATAAGTCATTTGTTTTGGAGATTGAGGGTGGGCACAAACAGTAGAACCTCAATGTAGGTACTCACTGTGCAGTGTACAAGTTGCACAACCATATGTGGTAAGGTGGAAAATGCAATAGTAACTGAACCCTAAAATGTGCATTGTACAATTTTCAACCTGTAGAATCATAGTGACAAAGTATGTAGAAACAAAAGAGAGGAACTAGGCCATAAAGAGCATTGTGTGTCAAATTATTTATTCTCATGGGGGCAGGGACAGATGGAGATAAGGGGGAATGTCAGAAGTTCTAGAAAAGGTGTCTAAATTGTATAGAAGAGGATCTCAAAAACTTTGTGGAAAATCAGATTATTTGGATGGTTTTTCATAAAACATATTTTCATAACTTTGTGAAGGTGCTTCATGCGCCTCTGCCCACCCTGCAGATGGCGATTCTGTTTCCCACCCCACAACACTGCTTTCCAGGAGCCTTTATCATACCACTAATTTTCGGTACTAATGAGAGGGAATCTTGTTGTTTAGGTAGACTGGGATTAAGAGTGGCTGGGAAACACAGCAGACAATGCAGAACTTACTCATAGGTTTGTAAGAAAGCAGTGACGTGATCCGATTTTCCTGTTAGAAAGATCAGCTGGCACTGGCCTAGCGGGCATATTAGTGAAATGTGAGCGATGATGAGGGCTTCCTGCTGAAAAGCCTTCAGGTCCTCAGGGTCTAATGACATTAGTGTTCAGGACACTTGACAAACACTCCCGCGGTCCTGGACACAAGATTAGAGTCAGAATGAAACCGATTTGTCAGCGCTTTCCTGAGAGGGAGCTGACACCGGAGCATTTCACATGAATTATTGGTTTGGGAGAGATGTGGACATTCGAGTAGAGCTGTGGTTGGGGAATGAATAAAGGAATCAAATATGAATAAGGAGCCTTTACCGTTTCCTTTAAGTACCTGAAGACATTAGTTCTGTTGTTGTTTCATTGTTGTTGCTGCTGATGGTGCTGTTTAACATAATGTAACTTAAAACCAAATACACTTAAAACCTTAAAAAATACATTATCACTAAGTCCATACTATTTTCCCCAGTTCTATGTGACTGCTTTCTTCTGCCATTTAGTAAGACCTGTAATTTTCTATGATCAACATATAGGCTTTCCTCACTGGAGAAAGATGAAGTTGATTTATTTGTGTATTTGTATACTAAGGTCTTCGAGAAAGCTATTCATTATCTTGCTAAAGTCTCTTAATGCCAACACATGATGTGATTTTCAGTCTGTTTCTCCCAACTACATAATGAGAGGATAAAGAGCTCTCTTTTTTAAAATCCTCTTGTCATGCAACCCCAGAGGCAGAGCGGTGGATCCTTTGGTGCTAGGTTGACATCCACAAATATCTATAGAGCACTATCAGTTGACCACTTCTCCAATCTATGATATTTCTATTATATTTCCAGTTAACATGGGGGATTTGCTTATTTCCTTTCTACCCATTTTTCCCCATTAGAAAAGCTATATAGAGCTAATTTTTTTTTTTTTTTTTGGTTATGGGTTAAACAAGGAAACTGTTGAATTTATCTGGAGAGTAAGAGGCTGAACTCTGTGCATGGTACATGCTCGTAATGAAGGAATCATGACTGTTCCATGTCAGTAACATTCCATCTGACAGTTTTACCTTAGATGCATTTTAGATGGTCCAATGGCTCATTTATAACATCTGTCAGCAGACTGTGTGTCCAAATGAACAGGGTTCTCCGAACTGAAAATGGCTCCTGTTATGGTTTCTTGGAATTGTTTAAAATGCTCTAATCTGTGTTTTTTCTTTGCTACAAATAGTCAGCTCACAAACAGTCAAGGGAATTTGGGCATTCTGCCAGAGGGATTCATATGGAGGTGGTTTGGAGGCTGCTTAGAAATATAATTTCCAGGCCCAGGAGAGCCAAATCATCAACCCAAACAGGCGGAACTGCTCCCCGAAGCGTGAAAGTGCTCCTTTAATACCAACCTTTGCAGGTTTCTTCCCAGTGGCTTCAAATTGTATGGGGCAGGTAGCAGACTAAGGCACATGTTGAAACCTGAGGCATGAGAAAACACTGATCAAATTATAGAAACCTTGCTAGATTTCACTTTTTACGTAGGAAATCTTATGGCCAAGCTTCAGACTGGAGTCACAAAATCTGGTTTCTAGACTGATCCTACTGAAGATCTGTGCATTGTCATCTGGGCAGCAGGAAGATGGTAGTGCTGGTACCAGGGCTGGGGAAATGACTTGGCAGTCAGCTAAAACCCTTTTATTTCTTAATGTTCTGAAGCTTAAGGTCAAGCTGGAAGTTGTTTCCCGAGCTCCCTTCTGTTCTCGGACCCTAATACTCTACGTAAGAGTAACCAGCAGAGTTACATTTAATTTTTATTGAAATAATTTATTGTTATTCTTCACATTATAATTTCTTTACGATGAACTTGATTTTGAAAGTAGCTTTGTGTCAGCCATACGAATCAGGGTTTCTTTGCTTAGTTCTCAGACAGACTTATGAGAGTCTGTAAAACCCCAGAAGGTTTAGGCAAAATATTGCAGATACTGCCATATGGAAAAGTGATACAAGGCTTTTATCAGCTTTATAAGGGCTCAATTAAAATAATGCTTACAGCAACTCAGCCCAACTGGTGGTCGGGAGCTTTACACACGTGCATATCTCAAAGTGACATGGAGTAAAAGAAATCCAAACGTCCTTCATAGGTTGTGCAATGAAAATGACTTCCTAGGTCCTATCCCACACTACTTTCCCTTTCCCAGCCCTGCACTGCCACCATGCAGCCACAGCGTTCGGGGAGGAGAGGAGGTGAACAGCCATCTGTGGTGATTGTGCAACAGCACCCCTTCATCCTAAACTATTCTGACAGTTGGAAGAAACCACGTCAGATTCCTGGGCATCATAGGGCAATTCTCCACAACTTTGAATTGTTTTTACTACATGAACTATTTTTTTTTAAGAAAAATATAGAATGAACGTTTTTTTAAAAGAAAGATACACTCTTCAATTTTAAAATGTAAAGCCTTGTTAAGCTTAAGTTGCTTGTTAACCTGGGCCTGGAATTAAATTTCTTAAAAAGACATATTCTACAGTTATAAAGAAAACAACAGATAAGAGCGATGTAAAAGTTTGGCTATTTAAAAATACCTTGCCTTGAAGGGTTGCAACATTCAGACAGCATAGTCAGATTTTTTCTGAATGAAGTCTTAATTTTCTATTTCTCAACCATTACATATATTATTGATAATATTACAGTTAAATAGCAGATATGTTCATGATTTCTTTAAGTATAGGTACAGGAGAGAATAACCAGACAGGAAGAACAGAGCACCAATCTGAGGTAGTAGCCAGGGACTGGAGGCAATAAGAGAGCTATATTGGGACATCAGGTATCACTAAGAAGCCACCAGATGCTGAACTGGAGAGATCCTGGTTCCCATGACACAGGTGGGTGACAGGGATGCTTACCCAAAGTCCATTTGCATACCCGAAACAAGATTTTTCTGCCTAGGCTATATACTAACTGAAGACTGCACCAAGAGAAAAAAACAGTCTAATCCTCTACCTGCTAGTGCCAGCATCCCATATGGGAGCCAGCTCGTGCCCTGGCTGCTCGACTTCTGAACCAGCTCTCTGTGGTGTGGGAAAGCAGCAGGGGATGGCTCAGGTTCTTGGACCCATGCACCCTTGAAGTCGCTGGTTCTTCATCTGGATAGGCTCAGTTCTAGCCATTGTGGCCATTTCGGGAGTGAACCAGTGGATGGAAGATTCTCATTGTCTATCCTTCTTTCTGTAGATCATTTTTCAAATAAAATCCTAAAATAAATGGGGTACAAAAAAAAAATACAAAGGAAAAGCAGAATTTCCCTAGAACAGGGATTTGGATTACTGTAAACAGAATTTAACCCTTTGGCCTTTTTTGCTTGTGTTTTCATTTCAGATGCTGCACAACAAACATGTTATGGTCCGTGTGGGAGGAGGCTGGGAAACCTTCGCCGGATATTTGTTGAAACATGACCCCTGCCGAATGCTGCAGATCTCCAGGGTGGATGGCAAGACATCCCCCATCCAAAGTAAATCTCCAACTCTGAAGGACATGAACCCAGATAATTATTTGGTGGTTTCTGCCAATTATAAGGCTAAAAAGGAGATTAAGTGAAAATAATTGGTAACTTCAAGGGGACTCTCATAATGGCCTGTATCCATCCACTTCTCCAGTAGAGTCAGTTTAGCTCACATTCTACTTTGGAAAAAGCATGAACAGTAAGAGTCACCACAGTGAAACATATTCAAACGTAGTAGCACTATTTATTTGAATGCCTCTGTAGAAAAGGACCTATCAAAAGAAATTCCAAAATCAGCTTTGAATTAGACATTACTTTAGGCAAATTACTTTTTCAACATGTAAGCACAATATGTAGAAAACAAAATTAGGAACACAATCCTAGCTAAATACAAAACCTGTTTTAGGGGTAAGGACTTGGGATTCACAAGAGATGTCCACGGAAGTGCCTGCTGTCTGTCTACATGTAAAAGCACCCCAGACATTTTTATAATTGCAGGATTTTTAAGATTTTTTTTAAAATGACAGTTAGTGGGAAAATGAGCTACTAAAATATGCAACAGCACTATGCAGAAGTACAGAATATTCAGAACAGTAATACTTTACTGGAAAGACAGTTTCAGCAAAGTTTACATTCACTTGGAAGGTTGCCTTAAAGTTTATTTCTTATCTATGACCAAATATCTGGGGTACTTTTGGAAGTTTTCAATACACCCCCTTAGAGAATAGTTTATAAAGGTCACACATTCCTAAACACGTGGCTGTGTTTAGAACTTTAGTGTAATTCACACATATAAGCTGACATACATTTATATTTTGATGAATAAACTGTACAAATTTTTACTTCATGTTATTTCAAAGCATTTTCTTATTAAAGTGTATCTTCAGTTAATCTTACTTTGCTCTAGTGCATTCAATATAAATTCACTTAGCTAATAATGTCATAGACATACGTATGCCTTGTGTACCTGGGATAGGGCTGTTTTGTATCAATAAACAGCAAACTATTGTCTTCATTGATTAAGAATTAAAAAGATAAATTTTTAAAATGCTATCTGTCTGTATGTTGATGCCTCTTTCTGAATCAAGCTAATCCTCCAAGAGCGAGTTTCCCTGAGAATTGCTAAATCAAATTGTGGTGACCTGACACTCCTCCATTTTGGGGAGGTGAATCGTGTGGGTGCCTGTTCTCCTTAACAGAGGGCTTTAATTTCATGCTGAGTCATATGCTCCCAGTAAACACAACTATTTTGTCATTTCTTTATTTTTCAACAACAAAAAAATTCTCCCTTTTTTTTTTTTTACTTTAAAAGGTTTGGGAAAGGAAGTTTTCACATGATCAATTTAGTGAAAATCGACAAAGACTGTTGGGAATTTTTGTAGTACCAGGCATGGTATAGTTAGCAGAACTATAAGTAGCACTTCAATTAAAGTTTAAAAAAGAACAAAAGAATAAACAAAGTATGAAATTTTTGTAGGTGATAAAATCACCTTAATGTACTAATTCTTTTAAAACTAAACACTTAATCTTTGTATTACTAGACTGATATTAATACTGAGTTTCTCACTGTAGTCAAAATTTTCTCCTATGCATACATTTTTCCATAAGTATACTTTTATATTTAATCGAGAAGTTAAACAAAAATCAATGCAGGTTAACAAGAATAGTATTCATCTTGATCTGTTGTATCAATTATCACGTGGTATCTTATATAATAACGATCTTCATGGCTTAATCAATACAAATGTATTTATTGTCTTGCAGTTCTATAATTGGAAGTTCAGTATGGTATCAGTGGGCCACAATATAGTCTCAAGGCTGTGTTCCCATCTCAGGAGTCTAGGAGGAGATGCAATTCTTTGCCGTTTCTGGTTTCCAGAGACAATAGTTTGAGAATTTTAACTTGATAATATTCTCTAATGCATGGGCACGCAACGGCTATTTTGATATTTAATGTCCAGACTTTGACTTTTTTTCTTTCTTAAGCATTTTATTCTATTTGGTGATACTCTGATTGGAATCATTGTCTTAATTTTCTTCCCATGTTGTTCATGGCTTGCACATAGAAATAGAATTGACTGTAACATATTAACACTGCATTCTACTAACCTTTTAATATTATTTTTTAAAGTTCCTTATAAACTCTTAAGAATTTCTCAAATGTGAGGCATTTTGTGCTCTTTTAACCTATTTTAAAACATGTTATTTATAGTCCGACTAAACCTGAAAACTTCAGAAAAGGAAAGGGAACTAGAGGAATTATGTAGAAAAGGTGAGTTCAGGATAACTCCTTGATGTCTGGGCCACGTGACAAGATACATTTCACAGAAACTTAGAGACAGCCAACGTGTGTACAAAACTAATTTGGATTTAGCTAAATGTGAAACACTGGAAAACGATACCACAAACTTCATAACTAGGAGACATTAAGACAAAATTCAGAATAAGTCAACTACGATAGCACAGAGAGTGAATCCCAGGAAACGTCCAAAGTGCCGTATCCACGTCAAAGTAGATTGTGCTTTGGATCTACGGTGATCACTCTTGGGGGCATGTTTGGAAGGTGAAGCAGTCCTATAAGACAGAAGCTGAAAAATACAAGGCCATATCCAAGAAGAAATTCCAGATCTGAATTGTTTAGTCATACATTTGTGACAAACCGAAACTTCCTTAACTCTGCTATACAAACAAATGTCTTGTGTCAATGATGTTTTAGAAAACTGAAGAACTATGGTGCCCACTTTGAATCAACCTACAGCATACTCGGTCATTCAGGCATCTTCAGATCCTTCCATGGAAAAGCTGGTGGGCATGTGGGTTGCAAAGAGAATGATGGGAAGTACGATTATGCTTTAAATCCATATATATGAAGTATGTAAAATGTATTAGCCTCGTATAAGTTATAAAAGAAAAATCCATCTTAAATATCACCGCAGATATAGACATACCTGAAATATCTGCTTTTTATTATTCTACATATGCAGAAATATTTTTTTAAATGAGATACCTTTTTCCTTTTAATTATATGGCATAATTATTAGTGAAAATAAGCCAAACTTTTGCAGTCAAAGGGGAGTTTAATTTATGCCAATTCTCCTGCAGTATCAAGGATGATAGATAGAACCTTTATTATGATATTATTTCTCTAAAAATAGCAAGAGAGATGTGTGTTGTGACACAGAGGATAATTTTGCAGACAGCAGCACTGGGATCCCACCTGGGCATCAATTTTTGTTCCAACTACTCCACTTCTGATCTGGCTCCCTGATAATGCACCTGGGAAAGCAACAGAAGAATGCTCAAGCACTTTCCTTTCTGTTTGCACATGGGAGACCCAGATGAAAACTCTTAGCTTCTGACTTTAGCATGGGCTGGCCCATGCCATTAAGGTCATTCGGGGAGTGAAGTACCAAATGGAAGATCTCTCCCTCCCTCTCTCTCTGTATAACTCTTCCTTTCAAATAAATACAATTGTTAAAATGAATAAATAACATGGAGCTAACAATTTCATTTTTCATCTGTTGTATGAGAAATAATCCCAACCGTACCTCCTGGAATTGCATGAGCAGACCAGTGTTTAGCTCTGTTCCCCATCTTAATCCCAAATAGGAGGTGTTCCTAAAGTTTTGTAAGCACCAACACAGGTTCTCATTAAAGATTTAATGAATAATAAAAAAGCTTGTTTAAACAGAGAAGAATGACATTAGTTTTTATATGATAAAGATAATATTTGTATCACCAAAAAGCAATACAGAATTTATAACAAAGCCATGTGCAGGGGAACTATTAAAGTGCATTACAACCACAATTTGTGAATGACAGAATCACATATAGATATTCACAAGATGGAGTTTTTCACAAACAGCTAGATAATATACATCCTTTTGCTGCCATACATATTAGTAGTAGAATGACAAGAAACAGCAGTCTATGCATTTTACATCTTAACATGATAGCTACATATTGCATACTATTTAAGTTATATTTCAGGAATTTGGTTAAAGATTTAGGTGACAAATGATCAACTAAAATGTTCTACTTAGATAATGAACTAATGACGATTGGCCCCATTTAAGGTATTTATTGGAACATCTCTGTGACTTGGGTGAAATATCTGGATGCATGGGCATTTTTGAACAGAGATTTACTGGTCTCCTATCAGTCATCCTACAGGTTTGTAACATTTGGGAACCACCGTCTGTTCCTGAAATTCAAGCACTTTTTGGGAAAGATGATTACATCCTGGAGGCAAAAAAAAAAAAAAAAGGAGAGCCCATGTCCCCCCAAAAGCAGTGTAAAACCACATCTTGTCAATCTTTCAACAGCAGTTGAACATTGCATTTTGATATAAACTGATGTTGGATATAGGGCATTATCCCTTTGATGTATAACTTTTGCGAACACTAATCTAATTTCTAAATCTTTAAAATGTAGTGAAGATCAACTCTTCTCGCTACAATAAAATAAAATGGAAGAGTCATATAGTCCAAAGGTGTGCTCTGGGTCTAATACATTCATCCATTAATGATCCTTCTTCCTTCATGCTTTGGAAAACCTTTAATCAAGTCAAGATTTTTATTACTAAAATGCAATTCAATCCACCATTCCACCATCTTGTATAAGCAAAATAATACTAATTCTCCAAAGTATGAGGAAAAATGAACCTGGTAACTGTATGTCTTGCCCGAATACTCCTGGGCTATTTCATAACCTAAAACAGTTATTTTTCTATTAGGAGTCAAGAGACCTATATTATATCTCAAACTCTTAAAAACGAACATGTACAGCATACTTTAATATAACACCGGCCATGTGCGAAGGGAGAATTAGTGGCTCAGTTTCCTTTTTATAAATCAAGAGAGTTGGTCTATTTAACTTACAGTCCCTACTGGCATGTAGCATCTACAAGTTCTTGCATAGCCTCGCATGTGGCCTTGCCATACTAATGAGTTAGTAATCATCATAGCTAATTACGATTCTTCTATTTCAGCTTGTTATATATTAAAAACAAAAACCAAATGTTCTGTTATGTTTCTAATGAGCAAGAGCTAAAAAAATTATCACTGTGGATTATAGAGAATCTCTTCTTTTTTATGTTTTAACTATATCTTTAAAAATATATACCTGCATATTTCTTTCATACATTCATACTTGCCTTGGCAAT